ATATACCATTCTGATCATGTGGGTTCTTTGTGAACTTAAAGTCTTTATAAGCGGCAATGATGCAATTTTCTTGAAAATCAATGTATTTACACAACAAAACAGTAACAACATTTGAATGTTAAATGCTTTTTCGTCTTAGTTTTTGTATATTAAATTAAATATTATGTCTTAAGTACTGGAACTTTGATTAAGAGAACACTCAGAGATGTTTTTGGTGTATTTTTTGAAACGTTTGACAATATGAACTACCCAGTTAGATTTATTACATAATATTGTAGTTACAACATTGGTTGGTGTTGAAAAATCAACTTTTGAAATTTCACTTCTGTGACGTTCATCTCTACGGATGCCAGCATGTCATTCAAGCTTTTAATTCATGCGTGTACTGTTAATATTTACACGAATTGCAATAATTTCAATGAATAAGTATGGGTTTGGGTGATACACTCTTTTTGATACTAGAGTCACTTATTTTTGTTTTAAATGACATCTTTTACTAGCTTTGCTGTCATGCTAAGTAGCCTGGAAGCTAATTTGGTGTGTTAATTCCACTGGCGTCAAATGTAAATATATTTTGTAGAACAATTGTGCTACATACAACAATACCTTACTGAGGCACGTAATCATCTATCATCAGTCAGTTGTATGATTACTAGGAGCACACCTGTTTGTCATTGAATTGTCTTTTAATTTGTTGTGCCATATACAGTAACAATATCTTACTGAAGAAAAAAATCCATTATTTTCAGTCAATTCACTTGCGTGAGAGGCACATGTGTCAGTGAAATGCTTTTTGTATGTTTTAGTAATTCCAACAAGCCAACTTATGCATTATACAAATCACATGGTAATACATGGTAATTATTTATTGGTACATCTACCAAGTATGAAATGTTAGTCACTGTTTTGTAGAATTTAACTGTTTTTTTGTGTGTAGACTGTTTAGAACTAAGGAGGTGAATAACATACATCTCAGCTGACATCAATGTTATTTGCCTTACGGTTTCATAAAACCAAAAAAACAGTTGACTATGACTCCGAACAATGAATGGCCATTGCCTTGTGTGAAGTAGGATGTACTCACCCTTTTCGAAAGATCTGGAATCACTTCATTTATACCATGATGTTTTACTTATAGCTTTCTCTTACTTACCATATTACCAGTGTTACCATAGTGCGGGGCTGCTTGTGAGACAGTTTGCTCTATTTCTTTCTTCGTATAGTAGATTTCATTGAGTTGCCTGAAAAAGTTCACTTGTAATGAACTTGTAAATTGTAAATAACAAAAAACATGTTTTGTGGATAATAATTTACAAACATTTCGTAAATTGTTACTGGTAACTTGGATGGTTGCAATACAAAACTGTATGCTGTGAAAGACCAAACATGTGCTAGTTGATAGTAATCCCATTGCTTGCAAGATCATCAATTTCATGCGTAGATAACTCGAACCACAGTTACTGACAAATGAATGTACTGCTTCATACCGTAATTGAGATTAGCATACATTATTTGCTCGTAGTAGTGTGAATAGTAATGCTCAAAATATGCTCCTAATTAACAGCGCCCCATTATACCGTTGGATGTCACTTGGGCATCAATACAATTAAAGACAATGAAGGTAAAAGTAAATGAATCAAAAGGTGAAAGGAAATGACAAAAAAAATCATTTATAGGAAAAAAGTATTTTATAACACGGTAGTGAATAATGCACCGAACTTTGATCAGACAAGCCATTCAGAACCTCAAAGTGCAAAGTTCACTGCGTGCTTGTATTTTAATATATGAATGATACGTACACACCGTATAACGTCAATAACAGGTAGCAGAATTCTGTCTACAACTCAAAGTGAAAACAACATGTTCGATTCACGCAACTAAGTAAAAATCTATACAACGATGGGGGCGTACAGTAACTTTGTGAACAAGATTAAAGCTATTGGTATTCGGAATCAGGTTGTCCGTGAATCGTTGGCTGAGTTCATTGGCACGTTTATTCTTATTGTAAGTATTTTGTTTTGAAATTTCTATATAGTAGCTGCGTATTGGGTTGTTTGAATTAGTGTGTTTATCACATTGGTGATGATTTAGGAGATTTATATCTCATTTGACCTGCTGATTCCATATTTTGATATCTTTATTAAGGCGACTAGGCAGTTGTGATTTGGTACACTGTGATTATAAAAAAAACGTATCGCCCGTACGTTTGTTATCAGGTGTGAATCGTTATTAATTATTAACTAGAACATCAAAGCAAATGATCACGTGATATGGTTTGCCCTGGAAAGTAGGACATGTCAACAACGAGACAGAACATAAAATACGTCAAAGTGAATGAAACATATCAATTCACTGTTAATATATCATTTGAAATACTATTGATATTCAATGTTAGAAGAAATGTTTTATACATTAATTATAAAGTTGCATCGATGTATGCACGATTAATGGCAAAGGGCGAAAATAAATATAGTTTAATATTTATTTGAAAAAAAAATGATTTAGAATGTTAGTAATAGTATAAATTAAAGTATAAATATAACTTGATGAAAATATATCGATATTAATAAATTGATATTGTAGACATTCGGAGATGGTTCGGTGGCACAGTCGGTTCTCAGTCGAGGTGAAAAAGGCGAATATCTTTCCATCAACTGGGGATGGGGTATAGCTGTTGTTATGGGAGTACATTTCGCCTCTGGCGTATCAGGTAAGTTTCAGTAGCATTATTCCATGATTACATTTTGTGTGTTTGTGACTGTATTTCACGTAATCTACGCGAGACACGTGACGTGAAATTGCCTTCGTTCATGCTTTCTTGTATATTTCCAATTTATCAGCATGTATAATACTTCTTTAACATTGTCACCATAGTGACAGTTTTATAATATAAATAAGTATTTATCGGAATTGGCAATGTTTGCATTAGGTGCTCATCTAAATCCTGCCGTCACCTTGGCCAAAGCCAGCATTGGAAGGTTTCCATGGGTGAAGTTACCGCTGTATTGGGCGATGCAGTTTATTGGAGCCTTCGCTGCAGCTGCATGTTTATATGGGATATATTATGGTAAGTCGTATATACCGTACTAAATTCCTGATTTGATTTGCATCCACGAAACCCACATGCTCAATTTGATATTAAGGTGGATTATTATAATACGAATATTGTATCGAAATGTTGTGTTCCATGGTGTGTTTATAGACGCTCTGAATGACTTTGACGGCGGCGAAAGACAAGTTTACGGGCCTAACGCTACAGCCAGCATATGGGCTACATACCCAGAAGAATACTTAACGATAGAAGGAGGTTTAGGAGACCAGGTACGTTTTTATCGACACACAAAGAGATAAGAACATTGTCTCACGAGTATGTTTTGTACAGATGCACTAATACAGCACGCGATATTACGTTGATAAAAAAGAGGTTGAAATAATCGACACATGTATATTTGCTAGGAACATGTCAAATGTTACATAATTACATTATTATAGATAACGAGGTACATATATCAAGTATCGAACATAGTCATCCATAGTACATTTTTTCACCAAAAATTGCAAAAAAAAAATTTCATCGAACTCTTGAAAAATAATAATATTAGTCAAACTCTTAAAGAGGAACACCTGAAAGATAATAATCGAAGCCCTGGGTGAATATGGGCAATAATGAGAGCCCTTCATACGTCATAGGATTGGTTACTTACATATATACGTGCAGTTACATCAGAAGTTTTAGTCAGAAGTCTCACAATATATGACATTTGTGCAAGTGACGTCATGATATCAAATCCGCTCTGAACTATTTGTACATC